GACTAGAGCGGTACATTGAAACCCTGTTCTCAAATGACTATTCGAGAGACTCAGTCATGAGTGAACCTCAAACCCCTTTCTAGGATCGAGTCGTGATTAAGGCTAAGAGCCGTGTTTGCATTCGCCCCCTGACAGGGTCACAGAAGGCGCGACCAGCAGTGGACAAGGAGAACATATGATTTAAAGTGCGGGGCACTCTCATGAGATTTGGATGTAGACATGTGCGTCGCACGATGCAATACTACAAGGGGATCAGGCCTTGTATGGGTGTATATACCTTATGTTCCAGTCTGTGTAGACTGTGCCGCACTGGCGGTAGCATGTCGGAGCCGTACAGTGCCATTGTCATTGACCCGGTCTATAGTGTAAGGACCTTTGTACTTTGGCTGACCGTACTTGCGGTGCTGATACTGTTGAATCATCACAGTATCGTTGAACATTGTATTGATGAGGACACGCGTCGCGTTTTCCTTCGTTGTTTTGTTGGATTAGTCGTCTGGCGACGTTCTTTAATGTACTTCCAGTTGGCTTCGAAACCGGACGTTGTGAACGCGTACGATTGAACACAGAGCCTGTGGCGGGCGTTGCACGCAAGGTGGTATGTCAGTGCTTTCCAGCGGCACTTCATTGGCAAGCCAGAATGATGAAGTAAGGGGCAGACAAAGATAGGAGCGCATTAACAATATCTGGGAAGTGATCTTGGGGATAGTCTGGAGCCGCAGCCCGTATGTGAGGACTCAATTCCAGGATCCATTTCACGAGGGTGTCCTTGGCATTGACTGTTTTTGACAGGCGAGTGCGAAAAGTTACGTATGTTTGGATGAGCACGCTCGAGCATAGAGTTGGCTTGAGGGTTACGTTTGGTTTTTGGGTTGGGGTTTTTTTGAAAAAAACCTGGGGGGGGCCCCCCCCCGGCCCCCCCCCCGGAACGAAGGGGGTTTTTCACCCCCCCCAAAAAGAAATAAAATTCATCCCGGAGTGTCTATTCGACCTCTGCGCGGAAATCGCGTCCTCTAAAATCTATGATAACCTCAGCAGGCAAAGGATACCGAGTAAGCCACGTTTGTTCTAGTACGATGGCTACTTCATCTGCTGCCTTTGAGCAGATCTCTGCAATCTCGAACCAACCGGTTATGCGGAATCAATCATGGTCAAGCAATGAAGTGTGCAGGATTTCTTTTTCTTGGGATCCCCTACTTTGTAAGGGCCTATCAGGTCAATACATAGTCTTTCCCCAGGGATCTCCTCGCAAGTCTTTGGAGGCATCAAATCCAGCTTACGCGTCTTGGGGTTGTTCATCTGGCAGCTTGGCAACGCTGCCATACGGCCTGCACAGTCCTGCGCAGACCTTTCCAGGTGTAGTGTGGGCTGATGGTTAGTTCCGTGCGAGTCTCAACAGGATGCATCAAGCACACACCATGTATCCATTGCAATAGTTTTTTCTGCATAGTTTTAGTTACAACGATTTTCTCGTCCTTAACTACTAGGTCGTAGGACTTATCCCCTCGTGGGGAAAAGATTGCTTCTTGTAGTCGTTTGGCTTGTCCCTGAGGAGCTTCTTGATATCGTTGTCGTCTTTCTGACGAGTTTCGATCTCGGGGAACGAGAGAGGGAACTCGCAAGGGAAGTCCTCTTCGTCTGCAGTCATGAGTTCAAGCGATCTCGCTGGCGTCCATGCTTTCTGAAGAACCGGTCGTTGTTGGAGAATGTTAAGTCCGACAACGCATCAGCGACGATGTTCTTTTCGCCCTTGATGTACCGTAGTTCAGGGCCGTATTCTCAGAATAAGGGGCCATCGCATTACGCGATCGGTATGAAGTTCTTACATGTAAAAATCTTGTGGTCCGTATGTAAAACAATCTTCTGTCCTAGAAAAATATTACGGAACTCTTTCAGAATTTCTACGATACTGATAATTTCCTTCTCGGTAACTTTTTAACGTGTCTGAGCAGTGTTTAGCTTCCTGCTGTACAACGCGATAGGTTTTCCCATCTGGGAAACTTACTGCGACCGTAGGTATTGAGTATCACTCGCAACTCCGTGTGGATAACTGAAATGAGATCGTTGAATGCAGGGTAGGCGAGCAAGGTTTCTTTGCAGATGATCTTCTTCATCTGACTAAAGGCCTTGTCGTGTACCGCTTCCCATTTCCACCTCGTTGTTTTGGAAGTGCGAACGAAGCCGAGTTGGGGCAGTACATGTGATCGTCTGATCACCATGTCTCGATAGTAGTCCACTAGTCCAAATGGAAATTTACGGAGTTCCTTTCTGTTTGTAGGAGGAGCACTATTCTTGATCGCGTCTATTTTCTTGGTTATAGGGTTGGATTCCTTCTCGAGTAAATCCAGTAACCTAGGTACTTAAGTTCTCCTCCTGCGAAGAAGGACTTGGTAGCATTGATCTTAAGTCCGGCTGATCGAAGCATTCGGAGAACTTCATCAACCTTTTCAACGTGATCTCCCAGATCGCCGTTCTAGTAGTCAGGATGAGTAGATCATCAAATGTATGCACGGACGTATTCTAGGTCGTGCATTAGGTTGCCCATCTTCTCTTGGAAGATGGTGGGACTATTACATAGGCACATCGGCAACCTCTGGTACTCGTACTTTCCCCACGGGAGTACTATGTTACAGAGTTGCTTCGAGTGGAGGTGACAGCTCGATGTGATAGTATCCCATGTTCAGGTCCATACTAGTAGCGTACTTGAAATCCAGCGTCTAGATTCAAAGGCATGTCCTGTATTTTTGGGATAGGGTAAGGATTCCGCTTGATCCTTTTGCTCGGCTCCCGGAAATCAGAGATGAAACATACAGATCCATCCTTTTTAGGAATGATAAAAGTTGGTGCCTCTCAGTCAGTCGTCCTGGAGAACTTAGCCCACTGCACACCACTCGGAACATTTTATCTTTTTAAGTACTCTTGCCTTGCAGAGACGTTCATCCTCCATTTTAAGAGTGTTGGTATGAACGCGTGGAATAGGATATGCTCTGGCATGATAGGGTTTAGCAACAAGGGAGAATTTCTACTTCGTAGTCGTTCATTTGCCACTTTCCTAAAGTACCATCGAATAGGTCAGAGTACTTCGGTAGTAAGGAAGTGAAGCTCTTCCTTCTCTTCCGTGTTTAAGTGATCTTGACTTTGGCAACCTGCCTTAAGTCAGCGTGTTCCGTACTTTCGCAATCAAGAATCTTCTGAGAACGATCGTGCACTGTTCATCAAACAGTGTATGGATCAAGGGAAAATGAACAAAGTTTTCTTCTCTGCATATGGTGGTCGCTATCACTTTTCAATTAGGGAGATAGAGTTGCGCCGTCCCATTCCACTAACATGGTAGTGAATTCGAACTTAAATCCTAAGTAGGAGAGAATGTCTCGACCTATGATCATGTCATACGCCCCAAGCTCTTGGTGATGTTTAAATCCCACTCGATGATTATATCTTCGTGGAATTCAGGAATCATAAATGCACCTTTGCATTTCGTGCTGGTGTTTAAAGTCTCCTGCAGGGGTAGTCCACATGTTTTGGACTCCCCCAAGATCTTTCATGCTTAATTTCTTAGCTTGAGTTTGAGCAATCAAAATTCCGGATATGCTTTTGTATCCAGTAAGCAACTTAGTGTAACGGGTTTTGGTTTCCCTTTTCCTCGCTTGTTAAATCTAAAATAAACGATGGGTTGGTCATACTAGGTTGATGATGAAACATCGCTCTAGATATTTAGCCAGCGTGGAGTACTTCCACGCTACTAGATCCAGGCTAGACAAACCTTCCACGCGTTCCGTTTTAGAATCGTGGAGAGATGTAGGATTACTACCACAACCTACTCTATCACACTTTATAGTCTCCCGCGGGAAGCCAGATCTACGATCCCTCGATGATGATCTCTCTCGTTGATTAGTTTTCATAGCTTTCTAATCTCTCTCATAACTTTCATTCTCTCAAACTCAAAACACTCGAAAGATCTTTACACTAGCTTTTAGCGTAGTGCACTTTGTCTTCTCTTCAGTCAGCTTGGGAGTGGTCAGTGTTTCTTTGTCCGGGTCGCATGCATCATAATTCCACACCAGCTTGTTCAACAAGTGGACGATCCTTTTTGATTCATCGCGATCGTCCTCTTCGTCACTTGAATCTTCCATCTCTTCTCTCAGGAGGGTATCTTCTGGCAGGTGTGACTGACTCCCGTTACACCCTGCGCTGCCGTTCTTGCGCTGCTTGATCCTCTCGGTTTTGATCATGGACCGCTCGAGCAATCAGCCTGTCTTCTGCGTCGTCCCTTGCTTTCCTCTCTTGGTACGCCTCAATGCACTGCCAGATAGTCTCCCGGAACTGGCCCTTGGGGAAGGAACTCCTTATCCAATTCACAGAGACACCAGTATCACCTGTTCTCCAGCAGATTGTGTATTGTTTGTCATTGTCCGCCTTTGGGCATGCAACAACCTGTCCGTCCAATGAATACCCCAGAGGGAACGCAGCATCAAATGATGCCTTGATTTCTGCGTCATCCTTCAGATACATGTCACTCGACGCAACCAGCCACTGCAACCTGAAGGTCCTCCTCTTTCTGGTAGACTTCTTCTTGACATTGGCTCCTTGAGCTCCATCTTCCTGTGTCAATACTCGGTCGTCATCTTGTGTTTCATCTTGTGTTTCTTGTTGGCTCACAGCAGGGGCATTTCGCTCAGTTATCTCAGCCCGCCCTGTCAAGGCCGGCATGGGCGGTCCTGCCATCATAGACACATCCACAACCTCCTGTTGTATGTATAGACCAGCTGCATGGGCGTCTTGTTGGCTATAGCCACCTCCTTCAATCTCATTGTCACCATCCATTGTTGGCTCTCTGTTTTGTGGTTGATCAACGAAAAATGCCACGAGTTTCGAAAACCCATAGAATCTCGATTTTCAGTCCAATCATGATGATCAGCACATGGATAAGAATGGAAATTTCACGGAGATTCCAAATATCGCATCTTTGATCCACGAAATCAGAGTCTAGAGGGTCTACACTTGCGATAAGGTTGCACGTGCGCATATTTGCACTCGTGGTTTAAGACGTGCGCATATCTGCGCAGGTCTTATGATTCGCGTTAAAGGTGGAATTGAGAAATGGAGAATACTTCGCAAAGGCACACGAAACATTTCCTCTCGCCGATGCCACGTTAGTAGGCAGATCGGGACCGGGAGGTTTTGAAGGAGTGGCTGCCACGATCACGAGAGACGATGCTCCTTGTTCTAGTGATGGAGTCTGCCTTTATCAAGATTTAATATCAGCGCTTGAGAGGCATTTGCGTCAAGTCTTTGGTGATCAATCAGCGGTCAATATCGAGTCTGTTGGCGACAAGTCCGTGGCCTCGGACTTCTTATCTTTTGCGGCGTCTGCTGTCTCGTCCATTGTTTCTCGTGTGATGGTGGGTTCTGAAGGGGGGTCTCAGGCGGGGTCGCAGAACAGCAAATCCAGAAAGCGGAAGGGGACCAAAGGGGGTTCCAGGGGTTCCACTCCCAAGTTCAATCTTTCCGTCATTCCTCAAGAGGAGGCAGGTCACAAGGGACATCAGGCTCCAAAAGGACCGACATGTTGGCCCTGGTGGCCACTTATTTGTCTTTGGCTGATCGGGAAAGTCAATGCACTTGACGATTTGTGTGCTCAAATCAAGTCGGAACAAGATCCAGAAAACAAAAAGCAGCTTGAAGAACATTTGGCCAATGCCTTTTAAATGATGTTGGTAGGAGGTGTCAAAGACAAAGCTGGCGGGTTCAAGGACCACTACTGAAACTTCCTGATGCTGCCACATCCACACAGTGAGTATTATGATACAGGGTACAATTGGGTTATTGTTCCCATCATGACGCTTGATAAAATGCGTGCGTGGGATGGCGGTCAGTATGATGTTGCGATCTTTGTGGGGGAACACTACCACCAAGAAATGGAGGAGGACGACAAGTACAACAATTTACAAGATGGGCCCTCAAAGCACACTGCAGTTGCTGCTGAAAGACGCCTCTTCAGGGACTTAGATGTAGAAGGTATCGAGACCTTGACATTGTTACGGATGTCCTAACGCGGTTTCTCAAGGATTGGCCTACCTCCACACCCGCAGCTGTGATGATGCCGGCAAGCCATGGAGGTGCCCCCAGACAAGTGGGGAATCATTAACTTGGCTGACACGGTGGAGGCTTTGATGGGAAAGAAGGGGGACGAAACTTCGAAGCGCATTTTTGAAGATTCCAAAGCTGGCATTGAGACACTCATTCCAATATTGTTGACTGGTGATGCGCCTGGGATCCGCGTTCCTAAGCGTCCTGTTACAAACTGTTTTGGTGGCAAGCATGTCTTCAAGGCTACTGTGAAGCAGAGGTATCCTACTGATCCGATTTTGAGTGCTTTAAAGGGTTCTATCAACTTTAGCCGGCAGTGGAATATGCGTCTGATGTCAGCATGCTTCGACATGTCTTGTGCGGTTTCCAGCAACGAGGGACATTCCTATGCTACACCGCCGGCTATGGATGTGATAGGGTCGGAAATTGCAATCGTGACTCCAGAACTGCCTCCTGGCCAGCAGACTACTGCTGCGGTTGTGACACCCGATTCACAGGCAGTTGTAACGCCGGAATCCCTGCCTCCAGGCCAGCGTCGGCAAGTGACCATTGATGATGACAGTCACATCTTCATCGCGCCTATCGAGGACGACTTCAGCGACGTCTCCATCGACGATGATTATTTTGACTGAGCAGTGGCAGAGATACGCAGAGACCAGAGGTGAGGTTCGGTAGAAGACAAGGTAACCCCAAGAAACTTCAATAAGTTAACAATGCAATAAAAGAGATCCAAACATTACGCGTACATGCGAAGGAAGCGACCTTCGACAAAGAAGCAATTAAAAGCTACGAACGGGAAGGTTCAAAAGAATTAAATCGTTTGTTGGAGTCAGAGCCCATGTTGAAACATCTAAAACCAAAGCCGTCTATCCCTAACACTGGCTTATTTACATGCGTAGAGTGTATGAAGAGACAAAGAGACATAGCTTTTTAACACTCAATGCACTGCTTGTGGCCAAGACTTCTGTCCGCGCTGCAGTGCATGGTGGAACGACGACAGTGGACTGGAATGTTGCTACTCATGTCGAGGCAGTGTAGTCTAAATGTTAATCCCCTTTGTGTCATTAGTCACTAGGTCCATCGCGCACGTTAACGAGTGTGTTATGGGCGGATATCTTCTTGTCCATTGCCGTGTTGACCTTATATTTGTACCATTCCAGGTTGCCATGGTCGAGGAACCCACTGCTGACCAAAGCTTCGACGGCTTCCATCTGCTCCTTCCTCTCCAACTCCAACTTGCGGATTACAGGGTCGTCTTGTTTGTTCGATCTTCATGGTAGGATGAAGCGAGTGCAATCACAGCAATAAAACTCTCACATTTTCGTCACTAGTCCCTCGGAGACTAGCAAAGGAGGTCTTATCGCACTGTAGTAGTTGGCATGAACATGGTACCGGTACGCTGTATGGATGGGATGCTTGGGCATGAAAGTGAAGGGTCATCACAATTGGGGTCTTGACGACTGCAAGAACCTGGTGCGCATCTGCCGGCGCATGTTGATGGATGGTTGGAAACCTAAGATCTAAGATCACCAACCTGTACCGTAGATAACGATACGTGTGGAACTCTCGCTGCTGCATGCTTGCTGAATAAGGGTAACCATGTATGGCATCTACAAAGAGAGATGCATGCATATTGCTCAAGGAAACATTGGTCCGGGTTTGGTATGCCCCTGTAGACGAGAATCGCCTTCCTTGCCTCCCGGCACTCCCCGCGGCAGCCGGCCAGCCCAGTTAGCATCAGCTCAAGCTCCAGCGTCCAAAGTCCGCGGGGAATTCGCCTTTCTTGGCGGCATCGTACAGTTCTTGATCCCACGATGTCATTCTACGAATGTACTGTATGGTAGTTCCGTTGAGATCTCTCAAGTGGATTGGCGCACTTAATCCGGCGGTATTAGCGGTTTTATTGAGATTCCGAATGAGTCGTTGTGTGCTTTGGTTGCTTTGAAAGAGACGCCTCAACAAAAGAAGCGTCTCATTCCCAAGTCTGTCGGTTGTCCCAACCCAGTCAAACAAGTGTAGGATGCTCTTGTACGCTTGACGGCAGTCGTCACGAGTCAAACTGTCCCTCAGATCTTTGCCGGTCTTAGTGTAGGCATCTTCGTTTCGCGCCATGAAGAGACACTGTGGATTGGCGATAGTTGCATGCGCAAGGATATCTTCGGTACTACGTTTGCTGGGTGGTGATTCCTTGTCAATTGCTGAGTTTTTTGTGTCGGTAGCAGTAGATGTTGGAGGTACCAATAGATCAAACCGTTTTGGATTTTGTGGAATGCCATGGTAATAGTTGAAGAAACTAATGGCCATTGCCACTGGTTCTCGTAGAATGGTGAAGGAAAAGAATGGCACATTGTGTTCGTTTGCGAGATTTTTCCACCGAGGCAATTCGTTTTGACTCAAATGTAGAAACGTGGGACAATTTCTTTCGAGTGCATGAAATTCGATGAAGACAACTTCTTGATTGTCAGTGCCACGGACAACCCAATCCTTCATCAGCTGCATAGTGTCGTTGTATTCGCGCGGCCCTGTCAGATAAATGTAATGGACTCTAGACCGTCTGCCATTCTTTCGATACTTGATAAGCTCTCGAATGGTTGTTCCGCCTGTCTTTGGTATATGTAGGTAAAAGATGATCCCACCATATTCCAAGGATGGAAGGGTATAGCTCTTGTGATGGCTGCTGATGATATTATTGTCGTGCTCGGTTTTCCTTTCGGTAAGTATACCACTATTATTATTATTGGATACCCGATCAATCAAATCTCCCCTGTACCGGTAGTTTTTGCAGATCGTGGACGCCACCACCAAAACCAACAAGGAAGACACACTCAAGAACAAGGTTCGATGCGATGTGCGACGGCAGCCTCTACTGTGAGGACCATCATCTGCCACCATCCATATGAAACGCTGTGCAAGGGCTGCTTGTGAAGAATGATCTGTCTGTTTAACCAAAAGAAGTGAGCACACGTAATGACGAGAGAATGAAGGAGTGACTATGCTCCGCGTTTCCTAGTGGCTAGGCTAGCTAGCTAGCTAGAGCGGCGTTTGCTATTATTGATGGCCATTGCCGGCAGCGGCGGCAGGTCAATCGAAATGATCGAGTCGAGTGACTCATTGAATCTCGATCGAATTCAGTCGAATAATTGAATCGAAATTTTCAATCGTCTTCAAAAGAGGTCGTCATGGCTCATGGCTCACAACATTGCTTCATCTTAGCAGACCAAGGTCCTTTTGAAGCTAGCTGTTGTACAGGTGCTGTTTTACATGTACTAGTACCGGTGTTGTTCAAAATAGGGAATGATATCTTCTCTGCTGGCACTAAAGTTGCCTCCAACGCAAGCCCTAATGGCTTAATCTGGATCCAAGTAGCCCACGCCATTGTCCGTAGGAACAAAAAAACCAAAAAACCAAAAAGCAAACATGTAGCAACATCAATGCAATGCGCAACCCTTTTTCATCTGCACTAGCTAGGCCGCACTCAGAGACAACGACATATTGAACCATTCCAATCCCAACCCACTTCTGAATGACCGATAGGACCACTACACCCGATCCCAATCCTGGACAAACTCGAGCCAGCACCCACCCTGCCACCCTGGCTCTACCGGTACACCAGCACCGGTGCCAACTAAAGATAAAAATTAAAAAGCCTACTCCAACTGCACGCCCCAAACCTGGCATCATTAACCTGGTCGATTGTGGCTCTCTCGGTGGAACGGTCTTCCACTGATAGCACGTCTCCCTGGCGGTAGCAAGGACTACTATCGAAAGAGAAATTGACGATCCTACAGGGTGCCTACCCCCCGTTGCCACAGGCATATGGCACGGCACCAGACCGGTCGTCTCCACACCAGCTACCGCACGCTCATTATTTCCTTGCTTGTAATTAGATGTGTTTATTAATCTGGACAGTCAAAGTCAAGTGTTTGCAGAGTCTTTTGCGTCAATCTTTTAGAAGGGCTTCTCATTTTCCTTTTCTCTCAAACATCTTTCTTATTTTATTTAAAAGTCAACAGGGGAACCCAACAAACTGTTGATAACATACGGATCTCCATCCAACTTCTCATGGACCATCAAAGCCAAGATTCCCATCTGAGCAGCACGCCCATTGTTGAGCTCAATGGCCAACTTGGATTCTTGTTCTTCAGGCGAGAAGGAATCCCATCCAAAGTCCAAAGCTCCGTTGCGGAAATCACCAACCGACTCTCCTTCTCCAGTGATATCCTTCATAACAGCCAATTCCAAGGCTCCAATAAAGAAGAACATTTGCAACCAACCAGCAGCAGGGACGGCCGTGAGGGCACCCAAACCAGACGGGATGCTCTCAAAGCTGGTGCCACGGTAGTCAATATCTCCAGGCAACCGAATTCCAGCCGTGGTGACAATGTGTCCCAGGACGGCCAACATGCAAACTCGTCCATGCTTCACTTCCACATAACGAAGACGGTCGAAACGGGCTTGGTCAGCATCTGTCAACAATCCAAGGGGGTCAAAAAGTCCCAGAGGAGGTTGGGCGCCAATTTCCTCTTCAAAGGACATGGGAGTCGAAGTAGAAACTCGAGAAGCCACATGAGCAGGGGCAAATGCCATTGCCGTGCTGGCAAAGACACTAAGAAGGGCGATGCAAGTCTTCATGGTGGTTGGTTGCGGTTCGATGTAATCTTAAAAAGGACTATGACTCTTTTTTGGTTTGTTGATGAAGCTGAAGAATGCCAAAATGCCAATACACTTGTAAAAGCAACGAGTTGTCACGGTGAGAAGCCTTTTGGATCTTTCTTCGCCAAAGATCCAAAGATACTTTCGATTCAAATGGGTCACGATTTTGACGTCATGAACAATCCGAAACAGATGGAGGAAGCAAGTTTGACGATCGAGAATGCCTTGGAACAAGTACTGTACCAGGTACTACTAGTACTGTACACTGTAGTGAGTGAGTCGAAGGCCTCCAACCATACGGTAGCAGAGGAGGCAAAATCGGTTGCCACACCATGCTGGACCTCCTTGGATTGTTACCATAATTTGACGACTCGGCTCGACAGGGAACAACAACAAAAAGATGATACAAGCTCTTTTCAAGAAAGTTTTGATTTCAGCTTTGGCACCCTCCATGAGGAGCCCGTCAGGTTTCACGGGGTACTTTGCTCGCAAAGTGATGCGAAAGTCCAATCCAGTCTCAACACAAGTGGGAATCCAGCGTCTAGATTTGCAACCTTCCGATGTTTTTGTGGAGTTGGGTGGCGGTGAAGGTGCTGGCATTAAAGCTGTCTTTGACCAACCTGATAAGGTCCCTTCCATGATCCATTTGGTCGAGATTAGCGAGGATTTCCGCGCAGAGTTGACCCGAGTTATCAAGGAAGATCTTCCTCAAACTGACGGCATTGGCAACAAAATTGAGATTCATGGCGAAGATTGCAAGCAGATGCCCTATCTACAGGACAATAGTGTGTCGAAAATGTTTGGTATGAACGTTGTTTACTTTTTGGATCCACTCCCAGAGTACCTGAACGAAATCCATCGTGTGCTCAAGCCTGGCGGCGTGGTGGTGTTTGGTTGCAAGTTCAAAAATCTACCCAAAGACGATAATGTCTTTATCAATGTCGAAGAGCAGCCCATTACCAGATCAATGGAGGCTGCCGGGTTTCAAGTTGGCACTGCCTTTGTGGAGGTCTCTGCAGACAACCCAGTCTGGAACTACCTAGAAGTCAAAGGCGTCAAATCCGGTTGACGAGTACAAAAGATAACCGAACTAGGCCTGCAATTGAGTCACTTTCCAATGGTACAGTACAACTAGTTAGTCTAGACTAGTAGTGGGATCCTCTTCAGGTTTACCTTAGACATGGACCTCCCATTGTGACATCGGGGGCATCATGACCAGGTAGCTTCTTCTGGCTTATTTCAGGTGACTCAGTGATACTCGTGAAAGCAAGTTGAGATCGCCATCACCTCATTCACCCATGCCATCACCCATCACCCACGCATCCAGGCATTGCCCCTGTTCTTGTTGCTGCAATCCCACCAGCATTATTCTCAATTCTCATCCATCCACAAGCTCCACCAATGAGTGCCACACTACTAGCTAGCTAGCTATTAGAGGACAGCAGAGTCTGAAGCATTCATAAAAAGTGAAGGTCTTCCATCCACTTCATTCGAAGCACTGGGCTTCAATAACTACTGGTAGCTATAGTAGCCGAGACGAGCAGATACCCCACGGTGGCACCCATGTTATCCCACAGCCAATCGGAGTCATCTCCTCTGCTGACTGCCACCAGCTCCCAAAAGCAGATACAGGTTGCAGCCACCGAGACACAAAGACGAGGAGGCCATCATGGTTCCGCATCACTGTCACAAACAATCATAAATGAGGCAAAGACCTGCATGGGAACAGGATGTCTCGCACTGCCATACGCAGCACGCGTTGGTGGCATCTGGTTGCATGTAATTGGAATATTTGCCGTCGGACTGTGGAACCTGTATTCTGTGACACGATTGTGCCAGTGCCTGCAGCTGTTACCCAAAGAAGCCATCTTGGAAGAAGACGACGACTCATCCAGGCAAGATGATGATGATGATGATGTGGAGAAAAATGAAGACTTGCAACCGGTTGTCGAAATGGCATCACCATGTCATCATAGACCAACGACGTCCTCGTTGGACAGTGAAGCATCAGCTTCGCGACAGCAACAATCAGCACCAACACCCAATTCCCACAATCACGCGAATAGCAAGACAATCCCAGTGGTATATCCTCCCCCGCCACCTGGCACTTCGACTTATTCACGAGTTGCGTGGTATGCCTTTGGCCCGTTGGGACTTTATACACTAGATCTTCTCATGGCAACTCTATTCATTGGTGTTGTGGTGGCATTTGTGGATGCCACTAGAGGATTCTTGAGAGACACTCCCTTCACCACGGGGTCCGATATTTTGGATGCTATGGCCATTGCCGCAATCATTGGGCCAATGTCCGCCGTTCCTGACATGGGATATCTCGCCAAAGCAAGTGCTACGGGGCTTGGAGTGCTATTCTTTAGCTTCGCCGTCATTGCAGCCTACGGATTGTTTGACAACAGCAACCCAGACGCCAACAACGACGCCAGCTGGAATTGGTATCCCGAGAATGGCGTTGAGGGTGTCAGTACTTGGTTTGGATGCCTCGTCTTTGGATATGGCATTGCTCCCTTGACATACAACTTTCGTGAGAGCATGACAGAGCCCACACAGATGGTTCAAGCATCCTCTGTAGCCCTCCTGATTGTGGCCAGCAGTTATGTCTTGTTGGGAGTTGGACTCTATCTTTTGTTCCCAAATGTTGATGGAGATGTTCTGCGCATGCTGCCTTCGCAAGGTTGGCTTCCGATCATCATTCGTCTGGGGATGGCCGTGGTCGTCTTTGTGACGGCTCCTCTTCTAATCGTCCCCTGCGGCCAACTCGTGGAGGGGAAGATTGTAAAAATCAGTGCAGCATCCCATATAGACGTGCCATATCGAGTCCGAGCCACGGTACGAATGGGCATTGCTCTAACCTGTGTTACAATCAGTGTTATGGTACCAGGCTTTGTTTCTGTCTTGAGTCTGGTCGGCTGCGCATCCGTTGCCACGGTGGGCTTTGTTGTGCCCCCACTATTGTATTTGCGATTGAATCTGTTAACGCAGAACAAGCTGTCATGGACCATCGCACTGGATGTGTTCATGTTGCTGTGGGGGACTGTTGCTACTGGGATATCAACAAGCTACACCTTTCGGAATGTCATTGGAAGTCAAGTTTAAAAAGACGACTGCAGCTGCCAATAGCGAAGCGCCTGATCCATCAGCTTGTTGCTGGTTAATACTGGAAGGGCTACTAGGCTGATACTCGTAGTTGCGATATCACTCTGGTAGCTACCGGTACACGTGTTGTTGGTGTCCGGTAGCTTCAGAACACGAGAAAAGGGTTGTGATCATGCTGCAGCTGACGTGCCGCTTGCTTGAGGCCTGCGCTTGGAGTCTGGGAGCCAGCAAACAAAACTATTAACATCTGCCCCTCTAGCCAAACAGCGATCGGCATATTCAGAAGTACAGTACCTCTTAAAAAGGATTCATTATGTATTTACTGTACTGAGGGGGACCCCGACAACAAAATTTAAAGCTTGCTGTTGGGGCGTGTGGAGTGTCCCTCAAACCGGCATGGCCACAAACCTAATAGCTCGCAGAGATATCTCATGCATGGAGTGAGGACATCCTGTGTCTGTTCATCTCAAGACGACGACGGTCGTCCATAGCTTGTTGCTGCCTCTGTAGTTGACGCATTTTCTCGCGGATTGCCATACATTGTGGGATCGGACAAACAGATTCCTTGCATTTTTGTGCGTGAATACGCAAGAGCGTCCAAATCCTCTTACAGATCTTGCAGCCACCTTGAACTTTGATCTGTAAGAAGAAATAATACAAAATATCAGTCAGGAGATTGCCATTGACAACCAAAAGCAACAACATCAACAAGAACTCACTTTGCATAAACGAGCATGCTGCAAATAATTCTTCATCTTGGCACAGTTGCTGGAAGAGCACTGCTGGTTCTTGCACCGAGAGGCGTGTTCGATCAACTGAATATGAAGCATTAGATTTTTCTGTCGCTGCTGTCGCTGTTCCTCGGTAAGGTTGCTGCCACCGCTTTTGCCATCATCCTGTTGTGCTTCAACGGCAATAGGCACCAGTTTGTGAGTACATGCTCCACGGGTCTTCGGGTCCTTGTAACACTCCTTGCAAAGGTCGTAATCCGGGCATGTGTTGCAATGATAACGCTTGCCGCTTAAAATTTCGCGACTGCATGAAACACATTGCTGCACAAACTTCGGCGCGTCTCGGTTGTGGAGGTGCCACAAAACCATGATAGAAGTGTGCTTCGCTCGTCGAAGCTCGTCAAACTGATAGTGGTTTCCTCGGCACAAATTCAGGAAGGCTTGTCGATTGTTTAGGAACTCACAATCCAAATCTTCGCCATCGTCATCAATCACTTTTACTGGGTTTCCGCTCTTGTCGATTGCCTTGTCCTTCACTTGTTCACCAACAGAATCTCGCTTGCTTCCAGAGAGCTTGGGTTCCTGCATGCCAGCATTCTCCTTTCGGAACTTGGCAATGTCATCCGGTACTTCCATGTCTTCCGGCTTCGCCCCCGACCAGTTCAAGAAAGCAACAATGAAACTTTCCTTCATAGGTTGAATGGTTTCGCCCAGCTTCACCATGACTTGATCCCGGTCAAGTTCCGACAAGTTCTTCGCATCCAGCATGCCGCTGGCAAGGAGGGCTTCCTCGTCGACGCCCGTCGATCGAGTTCCGCTCCTCTGTTTTGATGTGGATTTCTTCTTGCTCTTCTTTCCACCAGATCCACTTTTCTTTCCGCCACCCTCTTCGATCATCTTGATAATGTTTTCGGCCTCTCCAGGGAAGTAGTCTCCCTCTAGATAGGGGACAGCAGTGGCATCCAAGGCTTCATTGGCGAAATAAAGATCGTACATATTGGTGACTTTCCCGACAATATCACGCTTTTGACAGTCGACCAGCATATCAATATACCATTGTCTCAACCTCGAATCCCGGGGAGTCTTTTGGTCCTCGGGTTTCGCGTAGAAAATGTAGTCATCACCCTTCAGTGGAGGGCACGCCCAAATGTGTGCCGTCGCAAATCCCCTGCGCCTGGCATAGTCAAGGTATGCAATGAGAATTTCGTGGTACACAAAGGTACGCAGGCGTCGAGGTCTCATAAAGTGCACACTGTCGAGATATGAAATATAAACACAACGCTGGTTCGGTGGAGGGTTGTCCTCGCCGTGCTCATACACGTACAATGCGAAGAGCACAACATCGACCCCATCAAGGTGCTGGAAAACGACAATGCACTTGCATCGGAAAGGAAACTCATCCGGGTACTTCTTGTGAGCATAACGTTTCTTCATTAGCTCCCTGACCTCCAGCTTTCGATCCATAGCCGTGACTTGTCGAATGGTGATTGGTCCGCCGGATTCAATGTACTTCAGAGCGTCCACAAGCGGGATATTCTGAGACGAAGAAGAATATGTTAGTTTGAATTCAAGAAAACGATTGCGAACGTGAACAGCACGAGTGAGCTCACCTCTGTGTTTGATTTATCCTCTGCAAGCTCGCGTTTCCTTTGATCGACGCGCTTCGTGATATGTTGCTCCAGCCATTCCGAGAGGATGGTTCTGGGCAGGTCCGCAGCACCCATTGGCCTGGGCTGTGCTGTCGCTTTGCCTGCTTTGTGTTTGTCCAACAAACACTGTGGGCAAAAGTACTCGCTGTGGTGCTCTTTGTTTTGCCTGGTGTTGAAAAGGCCGCAAATTTGATGCACCCAACGTTCACAGCAGTCGCATTGAACCCAACTTTCCTCGTGGACTTCGTCGTTCTTCTTTTTCTTCAGATCACCTTTCGTAATGGTCATGTCAACCAACTCGATTGGAATCTTCTCGTCGAGCTCATTGAAGCATTGATTACACCAGAAATACTGGTTGTTGCCACCGACATAAAAATGGCTGTTCCTGCGGATTCGTGTGCTTTGACAGTTCATTCCGTTACAGAAGAAAACCGGTGGTTCGAACAATAGCTTTTCGCAACCGCAAAGAGTACAGGCGCGCTCATTCTGACGACGCTCCTTGTCTTCCGCCTCAAGTACAGACATGAGCTTCTTGAAGTCGATCTCAAACTGCGCCTTCAGCTCCTTCGCCATATCGTACACGACAGAGCCTTCCTCGTTGTATGTCATAGCATTGTCAAACGTTAGGTTGGTGTCGGCTTGGAAATTATCAATGTCGTGATAGTTCCCGGCGTCGAGCTTCTTGTGAATAGTACCAAGATCCATGGGCTTTTTGATGATATCGAAGTAATCCGGGAGACCCAGTTCCACAGGATCGACCGGCACATTGAAAACCCAGCCATGTTGGTGCGTCTGGAGCCCCTTTAACACTTCAAGACACTTTGCCTTGAGTTTCGACGGAGGCAGCTGCGTCTGCCGATTCAGGGAAGCCAAGTGGACCTCGAGCTCTTGTGTCGTGAAGCTCTTGAGCAGCGACCGGTCTATGTTCTTTGCAGGAGCCGGCTTGGGAGCAGAAGCGGGCGCCTCAGCTTTCACTTTGGGTGCAGGAGTCTCCTTCTTCACAGGAGGTAACGAAATCGGCTTCTGAGGCTTCGGTGTGGGCCGGGCCGGTGCGGGTTCCTTAGGAGCAGAAGACGACGACGGCACGTTCGGCGCACTGGAAACAGGGTCGTTTGATTGTGGTGCCAACGGTGCTGCGGCGTTGGTGCTCGCCATTTCCCGGTCCGAGGTACGAGCCGTCTTGCCCCTCTTCGGCTCTGGTTCGTACGACTGGGGTGGGGAGGACATGGGTGCGCTTGTTGCTGCGTTGGGGCCTGAACTGGTGGGTTGGGGCGGAACCTGCTCCTTCTTGGCGCTGCTGCTTGAAGGCATGTTGGCAGTGCGTTGGCTCTTGCTGTGGCTACTAACATCAATGTCAAAGGAGGCGTTCGGTTGACGGTTCTTTTCCTTCTCGTGGCTCTTGCGGATGGTCTCCCTCACGGGACCACAGGCGGGACACTTTGCATCCTTGCACCGACGATAGTGACTGAGAACGTATCTGCTACTCATGCAGTGCTGCACAGAACATTGCTGATCCTTGCAGTGAGCAATATGCTTCCAGAGATCCTTCATACTCGCACAGTGTGGCGTTACAGGGCACTTGCCCGCTTCGTACTGGCACCTGGACGCATGCCGCAGAAGCAGTAACCTCTGCTGCTTGTGTCGAACCTTCTGCCATTCGGAATCGTTCTTTCTCGAGGAACCGCCACTGGATCCTCCACCTCCACTGCCAGCACCACTTCCCGAGCCACCGCCAGTTGACGAGAGCGAGGCAGGGTTCATGGTGCTGTCGTTCATAGGGTTGTTACTTTCCGTACGAGAAGAAGAAGATCCGCCACGAGAGCTTGCACTGGGTCTGTCCGACTGGAACAACGGCTGAACAGCGGCCGCCGGATTCCCGGCGTTGCTGCCTGACCTGTACCGTTGGCCTGACTGCGAATTGGAACTGGGGTTGAAAGGCATGCCCCCAGAGTTGGATCCCGGTGGAGGCATGTTGCTGCGGCTGCTTTGTTGCTGGTAGTTATTCAAGGAGGAACTTCCAGAGTTAAAATTGCCTCCAGGATGGGTCGGGTTCAAGTTGTCGTTGCCTTGCATCATTCCAGAGTTTTGCCCAGGCTGCGGTCCGGACATTCCTCTTTGAAGCGATCCACCCATGTTGCCCATGTTTCCGCCAATCGGGTTGTTCATCTGACTCAAGGAGTTGCCGCCCATCTGGTTGGTGGTCATCGAGTTTCCCAATGGTGGTCCTCCACCAATGCCCATCGAGTTTCCACCGCCCATGGAGCTGCCTCCAATTGGACCATTCATAGCAGTGCTCATCGCGTTGCCGCCAATGGAGTTGCCGCCCAGATTCATCAGGTTGTTGCCCATCATCGGCTGCGAACTGGGACCTCTGTTCGACCGGCTGGATCCCTGCGAAGGGGTACGATTCTGCGAGGATTTCTTCACTGTGTCGCGAACTGGACCACAGGCAGGACAATTGGGGTCTTTACACTTGCGGTAGTGGCTGAGGATAGCTCGAGAAGAGAAACAATGTGAAACACGGCAGTTGTTGTCCTTGCATCCTTCCATGTGTCTCCACAACCGTTTCATATCCGCGCAGTGAGGAGTGACGGTACAACGTCCATCGTCGTGAGGGCATTTGGCAGAGTGGTGCAACAGCAAGAGCCGCTGTTGCTTGTGTCGAATGCGGATCTTCCATTCTGGGTCATTGCGATTATGAGGCACTGACCCCGACGAAGATCCTCCTCCTCTGTTCTGGTCCGAGGACCCCTGTCTCGAGCTTGAATAATTGTTCGAAGAGCTCGAGTGCCCCCTGGTGCCACCACCGCTGCCCGCTATCGGATTAATGTCGTCCATGTTAACGACACCACCTCGCTGCATCTGCTGATGAGTCGAACCCGAATTCCCCATGTACGGCGACGAACTGGAAGAGCCACGTTGCAACTGATTATTATCTTGCGGCCGTCTTCCGTTTGAGAATTGATTCTGCTGTTGCTGTTGCCGTTCCGTCCAATGCCTGTCGTCCCTGTTATCACCACTTTGCGAAGATCTCATTCGGCCAGGAGCCTTTCTAGACACCTCTACCGCTATCTGCTGCAGCCGTGCCTTCAACGTATTTGGATCCATGTAAGCTTCAAAGGACCTAGCATTGCGATAGAGAGAAACCTCCAATTGCTTGGCCATTTGAGGCAGTTTGTTAAGCGACTCCGGCGACCCATTCTTATCCTTCTTCAGCAACTTAACACTGCATGCATGTCAAGTCAAGTCATAGCATTAAAGGCATTGCCGAAAGCAAAAAGAAAAATAATTGGTGAGTAATTAGATTGGATTGGATTCGAAAAAGTACAGCAAATCCGACTGAGGATAGCACGTTGCACTTACATGTGCTGAATCATTTCTCGTCGGTGCGGTGTGTCCTTTTCGCTCTGCCATCCACTGCTGTTCATAGATCCAGAGTTGTTCGGATTTCCCATAGAATTGTGCGACCCCATGTTACTGTTCATGGGGTTGACATTCTGTCGAAACTGCTGCTGGTGACTATTCGAGGGCGGGCGCATACTATCATGCTGAGGCCCAGGCATTGGCATTCCCATCTGCTGGTGTGAATGAGACCCAGGCATGGAGTTGGACTGCCGTCGCCCCAAGTTCGGGTGCATCCCTTGCATGTGTCCTGGCTGTTGTTGCGTGGCTGGTGACTGCATGGGAGGGTGCGAGCCGTATGGTTGATGCCCCCCTGGCATGTTTCCAAAGCTCGGTTGTCTTCCTCCCGCAGGTGACTGTGGCGGCATTCCGTGAGGAGCAAATTGTCCTGGCATGCCTGATGAATGTCTCCGCTGAGGATGCGGAAACGGTGGATTCATTGGTTGCTGATGGTGATGCTGCGGTGGCATCACCGGAGACGGAGCCGTTTGATGCCCCGGTCCCATAGGGGGAGGGGGCATCGGCGGCGCAGTCACACCACCAGGGTGCTGCTGCGGATTCCCCATGGGATCATTGTACATCATCTTTGAACGGCGGCGCTACTACCGTCTGCCGAAGCACTACAACTACAACTTCCTCGGTGGCGTCCGGTTTGAAAGTTCAGTACCGTACCGCCTTGGACTTCTTCAACGCGCGTTGGAAAAGCCAGTTGTGATCTGAACTGAACTGCCTGTAAGTGTGTTTGGAACACAAAAGTATATATTGGGATTGGATTGTGTGAGGATAAGGAACGAACAACAGATGAATGAGGGGAGGGTCAATACATCGTGTGTCGTGAAGATGGCTGATACTAATAAGAAGAACAAAGACGGGTTTGAGGGCTACTGCGGTGCTGTTGATAGTGCGGAGCAGCACCAGCCCGAGGAACACTGCGGTCATTTACCGAAACAGGGACAAGCGGCCAGACCGAATTGCTAGGCACGACTCTGTTCGCCAAATGGTACTCAAAGCACTAACAATATGACGTCACAATAAACCAAAAAAGTAGAAACCTCGTCACACAGAAGCCAAGCGTTGACAACAACAACGTAGGATCGCTGGTTACGTAGGAATCCGGTAGGATCCGGTAGGAAACCACCGACATCGACAATGGCCATGGAAATCTCCTCTTTTTCGACCGCAACAACAAGGAATCGACGGCTTCAAAGCCAAAACAGCATCACTCTACTACTCACGGAGGCCTCTTTGAAGAGGCGCGGCATGAAAGCAACTCACCGTTACGGATTTACCTCGCGAAGCAACCTGTCTTTGTTGTGTCGGAAAATAGGAATCGGAGCGGAGTTCTGTGAATGGAAGTGCTGCTTAGCCAGTGCTCCGTTGAAAATGCCTGTACCGTTACCGTCTGTACGCCCTACGTCAAGTTGCTCGTACAAGTTGTACCAGAAGCAAAACTGCATAGAGCAAAGAAAACTCAAAACCTTCTTTCTGCTCTTTCGAAATTTGGTAAGACGGACTGGTACGGCGACGAAGAGGTGGCTGCTACCCTCAGTTTGGACTATCGATTGTTTGCTGAAAAGATAATGCACAGCAGCAAGCTTTGCTGTTTTCAATTATATCTGTCTCTCTATTGTTGTGGCTGACAAGCAAGTTGGGTTGGGTGGATTGGCTCAGGAAGCTACCCAGACAAAGGTTTCTGGCGCAATCATTTCTTCATTTTTCAAAGAACAATTATACTGCTCCATCCAAACAGGAAGCGTCTCCAAATTCCGTCGAGATAATAGTGTTCTGCTCCGCTATACGGTTGTGGAAGGATGCTTTGCTTTGGAGACCGTGAGCAGCCTCTATGGTTAGATTGACTTGCCGGAATTCCGTGATGCGCAAATATATGCTTGGTTCACTTGTGGAACTGGAGTTGATGGGTTACCTTGGAGATGGGTTGGTACCGTAATTATCACCGAGATGATGGTATCCTACGGTACCATTGAGGTTTCACTTGTGTTTTTCACTACCCATTCCCTCCAATGCCTCTTCCAACCAACCAAAGCCAAGGACCCCAGGAATCTTTTACTGCCTACCGGTACACCCAACAAGCCAAATTGATTTTCCAAGTCAAGCTGACAATAATTTACGACATAGGACGTTGGGGTTGCACAGCACTGAAAAAGCTGGCAAATCCGGTGAACTGATTCCTTCCCAAGGCGGGTTTCTTCTTTGTCTTGAGGGGTATCGAGCTCGAAGCATTGAGTTCTGGGGAGAAGAACCTTTTGTCCAGGCGAGAATTTTATCGAGTCGAGAAACATGCGTGCGCCCCCACCCTGGTTGAGTTGAGTCCGCCTCAAGAAGAACAATCCACCAGACGCCTGTGTCAATCATTTGATTCATTCCAACCATCTGAGGGGTGCATTGATTGTGGGACCCTTGAGGTACGCGCTGCGTGTCGGTATTTCCTCTGCATCTTCGTCGGTACCGGTACCAGTACCGTAGAGCTGTCTGTGGCTTGTTATCTTCGGGTGGGTTGCATAGGTTAGTGTACATTCCAGGGGTGATGGGATTACTGGCCGCTCTCTTGCTCAGGGGCTTGACCGAGTGCACGCATAACCGACGAGCGGCATCCAGAAAACCACTCCACTAGGAACACCATTCACTTAGTTTATCCAGTGCAGTGACAATGATCTATTTCTATTAATTTTAAGAAGACCTGAAGCGTATGCATGTAATAGCATGTATGGCTACTAGTACCAGCCACGACATGAAATTGCGTCATGCTCTGCCAGACTTGAACATGGTGGAGGAACCTTCCATCCATACCCAGCAGTTTCAACATAGCTTCATGCCTCTCTCGCTAGCTACTGGTAGCAGAGGCCAAACTTTACTGCTAACTATGGTACTATTACATGCCGTAGCTATCATTGCTCTTGCATTTATTGCAACAACTTCAAGACAATCATGCCGACCAACTGGTCGCACCTGCACCTGTGCTTGGGGGTTCCAACGGCGCTGGGGGGAGAGAGAAAGGCACACTCTCACAGCTCAAACGGCTTTCGGGAAAGATACAGTACAATTTCATCACCATCGGTACTAGCTAGTACGGTACTGGCACCAGGTACCACGGCTACCGGTACTACTAGCTAGTACGGACGGACAGGACAGTACTAGTACTACCAGTAGTACGTTCTCTCTGGTAATAGCATCCCCACCACCCGCCACAAAGTCCCAGATCAAGGCCATCAAGGAATCAAGGTTCACAACTTGTTGTACGGTTGCGATAAGCATTCTCTGTCGATGCTGGTGCCTTCGAGTTTTCTCTGTTCTCAGAACAAGACTATGAGAGAGAGAAGGCAAAGACAACCATGGCGGCCCTAACCCGTTCGGCTTCGCTCGCCGATCTGTCGGAAAAGGAGGGACGAAAGACGCCCAAGGATGGCGATCCCAGCCGCAGCAACACGGGTAGCGAGAAACACAGAAGTAGGTCGATCACCCACAGAATGTCTGCAGGCAACAACGCATCCCGTGCAAGTTGGAAATGGATATCCAACTCGAGGAGCTTTCATGAACACCGTTCTCGATCACAGAAAGGAGGTTCTGTGCTCTCTTCGGATTCTGCATTACCAGCCGACAGTGCTACCTTCAGCAAACCCACTGGAGTCCAGTCTCAGGCAACCCCAAGTCGCCATAAGCAGATATCCCCTCGACTTTTGGAGCATTTGGAAACTTTGCTACCGAAATATTGTATCCATTTAACCCATCCAACATATCAAGAGGCTGCCAAGGCTATGAGGCTGCTTCTAGACAACCCTCCACCGGTTACTGCCATTGCTGAAGTGGCCATGGCTGCTACTTTTATACCTGGAAGTCCAGAGAAAAAATCAAACCAGCGAGCTCGGGAAAACGAAGCAAAGGCAACAGTAAAAAGCGAAATGAATCGTCTCCTTGCGTCCCCTTTTCGTTCCCGGAAACCCAGGAGAGACAAGTTGGATGACAGCCGCAGCAACCCACGCCAATGGGGTGCAGCTCTGTCTAGTTTGGGAAGTCAATCATCCGCATCTTCTGTGAACAACTCACACCATCACCAAGGCAAGTCGTCCTTCGTGGCAAAGCTAGATGCTGCGGCGTGGGAAAGTTTTGTCGCGCCCTTGATCTTGCTAGCTGGCGCAGAAGCCATTTATGCTGATCTCGAACATGTTCATCCCACACCCAGTATAATCCATTGGCCAGGCTTGTATCGGCGCATTGCCAGTGAGTTGCGGGCATTGGTGCCTCGCCCACAAGAGAAAAAGTCGGGGTTTTCACTGTCGAGGACCGTGCCAACACTGGATTCGCCACCAACCTCGCCCCTGCGATCATCATCAGCTTCACTCCTCCCTCCAGCCGAGGCCAAATTCAACCAACTACTGTTCCCACCACCAAATATGCATCGTAGTGCAGACTCGTCGGGAATAAGTCAAACACCGTTGACACCAAAGACAGCAAACACGGCACAAACAACGAATGAACGACGCCCTCAGGAATACATGCAACTGCGGTCGCTCTTGGCTTGGTTAGACGTCAAGCGCCAGTGGTTACCATTTCATGAATCTCTGTTTCTTACTTGGAATGTAGAGAACCTTGCAGAAATACGAGACTTTGCCGCATCTTTGCCTCAGAAACAAGAAGAAACAATGCGACCCCTTGACGAAGCACTGCGACTCGAGGTCCTGGGAACGTTGTCCCTCATGGAAATGGCATTTTGGTTGGAACGTGGAAGGTAAGAAGTTGTGTTTGATTGTGCCCTCAATCAACCCATACGCATGGCCTGTACTGGGAGATCTGGACACCAATTCCATTCCTCCAATAAATGTCCGTGCAAGAGAAAAGAAAGCGCTAAAAAGCACTCGTTATATCATTTTTTGAACCGTGATCTAAGGAGCCGTCGAATGTGCCAACACGTTGATCCTAAGAGCGTTGCTATCGTATGACATTGTGTGCAGTGATGTCTCACAATTTGCTTTATCCTCGTAATCAATCCAATATAAGGTTCCTGGAAACAATTGTCAGTGCTCGAAAAGTCAAACAGCAATTGATCGCCGTCGGCGACAGAGAAACTGCTCTTGTTTTGTGGATGAAGACTACGTTCCAAGATTATCTCAGCATCATGCCATTGGTGTACGATAAGGTGCTAACTTTTGCGACTCCGTTGTACGGGTTTGATCAACAGATTCTCTTGGAAGCAACTCAGAAGGAGAGGACGTTTCTGAACGACCAAAAGGGTGTTGCTGATTTGGATGCCCAAATCATTGAACTTCTTAGGAAGCAAGAGAGAGCAGGAGGCACATCAATGGCAGTAGCAATTGTGTTGGACACGGGAATCGAGGATGTCGAAGAGGAGAACCCAGCTCCAACGAGTGCAACGCATCAAACTAGCAGAACCCTGAATTGGGCTCAAAGCGGGCATCATCATCATCGAGTAGAGCTTGGATTCTCCATGCAAACCACACTCAGCAAGAACCATGCTGGAGGAGGCGGACCCACCTCAAGGAAAACCCTAGTCGACCCCAACGCCAAATCATCTGGCGGCACCGACGAGGAACAGAAGTCTACAAACGTAGCCGAGCTGAGGCCATGGCCTGCAGTTTACCTTCGAAGCACAATGCGACTTGGTACGCCAACACGCGGTGGTGCAGCAAGCAATACAGGCGGGGGTATGGGATTGATCAATGGCATTCGCCGCAACGCAAGCTCAACGAAAGGGAGCAGCAGTGCTCTCGATGGAGGTTCATCTTCGCAGCATGGCAGCAGTTTGCATTCAAGCCGGAGTGCAGGCTCGGTTGATGGCAGCCCTCGTTCGAAGTACCGGAAGAGTTCGTCCACTCGGCGTTGCTCCCTTCTTTCACATGGGAACATATTCGAGTACGAAACAGAACCAAGCAACGGATCATCCTGGCCACATTCCGAATGGGGCCAATTGAGGAGTTTCCTTGAGGCCTTGTCATTGGGAGATGGAGCTTGGTCAGAGAATTTTGTCACAGACCACGTGACAAATTCGCCAAACACTTCACCTGGTCGAATGGGAGACACTAGCTCCCTCTCGGGTGTCGAACCGACCGCAGTTACGTTTCATCCAGACGGGATAGAACCAACAGGCGAAGGATCGGGAAGAGGCTCAACAACCTTTGACTCACGCCGCAGTATTTTGTCATCGGATCTGGGCAAACAGCTATGGGACCCTTTGCCAACCCCACTGACCACAGCGTCATCATCGAATGTTGCGTCGAGCACTGCTCCCACAACATTCCACGCTGTGCAAATCAACAACTTTATGTGGATGATAGGTACGTTCGTGGCGCAGATGTTGGATAATCTCTACCACAGTTCCCCTCACATTCTATTGCGCTCTTTGTTGATTGGATGTATACGGTAGTCATGGTGAAGTGCGAGGAGGAGTCTCGATGGCATAGACGGAGGTCTCGAGGCGTTCCAGACAGGGAAATTAGAGAATTTTTGAATCACATGGCTGCCAAACTAGCAATATCCAATCGTTTCTTGGGACTCAAGACTTGTCAAACTGCCAGAGTGAAGGTGAGGGATCGATTGGCCCCCCGAGTACGCGGCCGTGACCTCGGTCTTCGCGATGCGCAGTGGGAAAGTGCCAATCCAGAGGATGACGATCAAGCTCAAGAAGACGTCTTGCAGTTGATGAAAGAGGCGTTTTCCGTGACGGGGTCCCACCCAACGCTGAATCGCGCCGAATCTATCCTTACAACAATGAGTGGTGGCTTTCGAGCCTCTGGGGGAAGCCGGAGCCCACGTGACCGACGTCGAGTGCTTGCAATGCAAAAGCAGGCTGGGCCTTTCGCGAACAATTCTGACTACAGGGAAGGTGCTGCTATGCTGTTTCTGGGACCAGAGCTTTTTCGCCAGTTCTTGGAGTCGACGAGCGAATGAAGCGTTTTCTTGCTCTAGCCAGTCGACGGTTTTCGCCTTTGCTACTTGCTGTTTTCTTGCTTGGTTACGAAATACGGTACCGTGCAATGCAGATGCAAAGGAGTAGTCTAGTAACTCGGAGATGCCTTCTGGTAGCCTTGTTGGCGGTGTCGCTACAGTACCGATGATCGATGGGGACTAGCAAGAGGTACGATGTACCTGGTACCAGTACTAGTATCTTGGCAAAATATGCATTGAAACAGTTAAATACAATCAATCCATTATCTTGGCAAATCTACAAATCGAGTTCGGCTCTTGGACTCGAAGAAACCTTGTATGCCATCAGTTCCAAACTCAAGCATGGCTTCATCCAAAGTCACATGCTCCACATCAAATGAATCTTGACAGACTGCTTCTAGAGACTGAAAGAAGGCATCCATTTGGAGTTGATTGTGATATGCCTCTTGCAGTTCAATTAAAAAGCTGGCATGGGATCGATCCTTGCGATATTCGGGTCGTTTGGCTGGAAGCTTTAGATATTTCATATTCTCCTGTCGGAACGTCCATAAAAAGCTGGTATGATGCAAGAACCCCGTCTTGACAATGGATTGAGCATTGCCTGCCACTTTTTGGGTCCCTCCCATAACATAATCATTTTCCTTCAATTCAAAGTCGGGGATTTCTGCTGTTGTTGTTATTGCTGTTGACGCTGCCATTTCTTTCAATTTTGCAAACGTTGGTCCAAAGACATTTGTGGCGGTCCATTCCATGATTTCTCGCGGATAGGGTGGCACTTTCTGAATATTATTGTTGCTGTTTTCGTCGGCTGCTTCGGATGCCTCTACCAGTTGATCAGGCCCATTTCTTCCAATCAGAGTGGTATAGATGCAGTTGTGATCCACCACGACAGTTCCTCCTCCCGAAAAGCGTTTGACTACCCAAATTCCATGTTCTTGTATTCTGGGAATATCCAGCAATAATTTAGGTTTGCCTCCAATCCCCATGACGACGATACAAGGTGGATTGTTTTGCTCGGCTTGTGGTGGTGGTGTAATAATGTAGGATGGTAGCGATTGCGTTGGGATTTGTAGAAATCTTGATTTTGTTGGATGATGGGTTCCCCATATAATCCATTGTCTGTTGTGAGAGTCATGACGCAGCAAGCACTCTTCGAGACACAATCGTTCAATAACTGACAGCCCCGATTGCCGCAGATCCAAACAAGAAAACTGTTGCTTTGGAGCCAAACTGTGAGATTGCCGCCATTGTCGCAGTATTCTCTTTCTCGGAATAGCTTGACGTCGAAGAGTCACTGATCTGAACATCTTTGATCTCCAAGAATTCTATATCAAGCAGATAGCTCGATACATGTAACAGCAACTGCCGTACTGTACTAGTATTGAGGTCCTCGGTTCCTGCGCATGACGTCAATCTCATTTTGTGAAAGGGAGTGATGACGGGTGGAACCCTTCTCAGGAACCCGTCATTATTTGGATTGCCAGCAACCAGTTCAATCTTGCTTGATTGGATCTTGAGGGACAGCGCCGGACTTGAAGTGCCGATGCGCCGATCACAAAATTCCTTGGCCGATTTTAAATTCACGACATGCGATTGCGGTGCTTTTTGCTTTCTCACTTCATCAAGCTCCTTCTTACACGTACCGGTATGTATCATCCCAGAGCCATCATCGCCACCATCACCAATTCAACAACACAACTCAACCATTGACAATTCTCTCTCATACATTCTCTAGCGCTCTAAGACCCAAAGTCCAACCATTTCTGACTAGTTGGGTTTCCCACACGAAAAACAAACACACGGCAACCATGGCGCGAAAGAAACAGATCCATTCATTTGACAGCAGTTCTGACATGTCGACATCATCTTCTTGTAACAATAGCGTTGCCACTCAAACCAGCCACAGCAGTAGCCAAGGAAACAGCGACGAAGGCATCCCGATTGCGAAGAAAAAGAAATCAGGTCAATGTTCGTGCGAGACCAAAGTGGACCCGCAAGATGATGTGTCCATTCTATCCAATCGTCAAACACTTTTGGCATGCATCATGTTCTTTGTAGTGGGGGTGTACAGTGGTGTTGCCTATGTGGGCTGGGTCCAACTCTCATATGGGTTTGGCGTGGATCCGGAACTGGAAGAACGGTACTTGCCGTACGGTCCATCCACTGTGAGAGCTCGGGATGATGCTGTGGCTGCACCCTTGATTACATCGCCAACAGCCACAGCTACAACCAAAAAGAGAATTCAACTCAATCGAGACAATCGAAAACTGCAAAAGCCAATGGTCTCCACTCTGTTTGGAATTGAGTATGGCAACGTCGTTGGTTCTACGGCTGCCGATAGTACTGCTTCAGTAGATGATGATGATGATGATGATGCAGGAGATGAAACAAAAACATCGTCCTTTCAGATCTCTTCCGACTGGTATCGATTGGCGTCCACTTCGGCTGTGTCTTTGACTCCAAAGCAAGTCTCCATGATTCAAGGACATTACCGCCAAGAGCCACGCAACCATGCCCAATCTCGTTCAACGGGCCAAACAAGTCTCCTGGGGTGGACCTCAATCCAGCAAGGCCTTTGCTCCAGAAACCAACTGGTGGCAGGCAGGTCATCTGCTTCATTCGTATCTTCGCATCATGAAATGGCAAGACAAGCCAAAGTTTCCATTTCGGTTGTGTGGAGACGGTGGATGTCCTCCCGAACGGGCTATTGCGCATACTCTGGAATTCAGAGAAAACTACAAGCCATGGTTGGCTCCACCTACTCTGCTGGAAGAAAATGTCAAGGGATACAGCTATCATCGGGGATTCAGTCCAGCAGCACAGGCAGAAAAGCATGCCATAGTATGGCTTCGATTGGGCCATTACGTGAAAAATGATCTGACGTTCTTTCGAGGCATTATTCATGCAGCCGACCGAGCCACTGGAGAGTCCTTGGTGGAAACCGGAGGTTCAACTGGCAAATTCAATGCCATCATTGATTGTGGCGGATTTTCTCTCGCCGGAGCTCCAACCATTGCGTCACTGAAGCAATTTGTGACCATGCTACAAGATCACTATCCAAACCGGTTGGGTAAGTGGTCCATTGCGTCGTACGGTAGAATCGACTCGAGTAGACTATATCATACCGGTAGTACAGTTGCACTCACAAACACCGCTTTTGAATGCTTCACTCTTTGTTGCAGGTATGATCTATTTGGTCAACCTCTCTCGACCAGGCCAAATCATGCTTTCTATTATTCTACGAATCATCACAAAAGAGGTGCGAGACAAGATCAAAGTCTTGCCTAATCACAATCCTGCCAAGAGTCTGGCCATTTTGAAGACAGCAATCGAAGAACGCTACATCCCGGACTGGCTCGGGGGAACTGACACCTTCCAGTTCAGTGTTGAAGAGTACTACCCGCCTCATCTCAGGTGCACCGAAGATGAAGCTCGGGAATTCTTGACCACCATGCCTTATCATGCCAAGTAGTGCGAGATTGAGAATGGACTAGAAACATGCACGGATGGCAACCATCCATGCATACAAGTCAAAAGAAATCAACCATTCAAACTCTCCAGAAACACCAGTACCAGAAGTACTCGTATAGAACAACCAAAATGCTACTAGAGCTAGAGCTAATTACAAATGCAAGTCTCTCACAAATGTGCAGTCAGTGGACGGCTGCCTTCACCGAAGGGCCCACTGGAGTTGATTACAACCATACTGGTACCGTGGGGCGCTGACTGGGTCAGCTCTGTATGTATCTCATTGGAGCCTTCCGAAAATGATATACCGGTAGTAGTGCTGAAGCCAACAAACATCCAGACCTTTCTCCCTGACATCAAAAAGTGCTATCTTAGGGTCACAGGAAGCGCTACCGTAGCATTGTGACGGAAGCAGCCCATGGGAAATGGGGAGTTCCAAGAATTCTTGTGGTGTTGGCCACGCACACTGTATAGAGAACGTTTCCATTGATTTCAAAACTACCTACTCTACTCTAGCTAGCTACTAGTAGCAAGATAGCTTACAACTAGCTACGGTATGGTACCGGTACCGGTTGGAAAACTACCATAGCTGCTACTGGTAGCTAAAGGGGGGGCGTTCAGAGGGCGTGGGGGGAATAGACTAGTCTGGATCCCCTCATTCACCAAATTTTTTTTGGTCCCCTTCAAGATCCAATCCAAGATACTGCAACAAAGCTCAACATCTGCAGCAGATCATACTGCAACACCACCATGATGCTACGTCCAACAGGTTCCTTTACTAGATTGCTCGCATTGCTACTTGCTAATCGTTTCATGACGCACCACCAAGCCTTTGCCCTTCCCTTTGTGCTTGGAGTCCGTGATTCCTTCACAGTTTCCATGACAACCCCAAGTTTGGTCCTGCCGGGAAGCTTCATGGAGCCACATACACCTGTGATGTTGAATTCTCTTCCAAAACGTTGGTATCGGATACCAATTGGGTGGTTGATATTGGCAAGGCATCGGACTTGTTTTCACAGGTCTTGGCCAAGTACAATTTCCAAAACTTGGATGAAGTTTTCCCTGATGGGACCCTGACCACCGCGGAATTCATGGCGAAGCAAATTCATACGGATTTGTGTGCCTTTTTAAAGGCTGAGTGCAAAGAGTTTCAATGTGACTTGTGTGTCAAGTTGTGGGAGTCACACAAGGCATGGGCGAGCTATAGTTGTGAAGTATAAGAAAGACATGAAGGCGGAATGCATCCAGCTAGTTCAGAATAACCAAAATGCTACTAGAGATATAGCTATATACAAATGCAAGATACAAATGCAAGTCTCTTACATATCGTACAGTGGGCGGCTGGCTGCATGGCAGGGGCCACTCGAGTCGACTGCCATGTTGATGCAGCTAGGCTGCTGTCGCGTATTGGGCATGCCCATCTTGATTCACATCCCAGTGGTGCCTCGGTTCGTGGTTGTTGAGATCGGTTGATTCACTCTTTGTTTGTGGCGCATAATGATTTACGATCCAAACGTTCTTGTCATCAATACCCTCCTTTGTGACACCATCTCTTACCCAGTTGAGTATGGCGTGTGTTGCGTTGGTGACGAGCAGATTGCCGTAGCCAAAGTCCCGCAGGTCTCTCATGGCTACAAAGTCCTCGGGGGTTGTCTCGTTGCGGTACCCACGAGAGTGTTGTTCGCGATTCCCGGCGGCTCCAAGGGTAAGGTATACGGGCGAGGTACCCGTTGGATCCACCGTGCCATTGACTAGAAGGCTGTGACTTCTCATATATCCATGATCGTGTCCACAAATGACCAAGTTGACACCTCCCTCTTGGAACACTGGTTCCATCGCCTGCTTCATCTGTATTGATTGTTGTTCATTGACATGCCCCGTGAAAGTTGTGTAGAGTGGAGAATGGAACGATACCAACACCCAAGGAGTCAAGGTTCGGTTGACATTCAATGTAAGTTCTTCCACGAGCCAGTCATATTGCCTCGACCCCTTTCGGCTGTCACTGTACGAACTAAGAACAATGAAATGGACCAAACCGTGATGAAAGGAATAGAAAGCATTCCCGTAGTTGTAAGCTCCCTGGAACTCAGAGGGCGTGCTGGCGATGCAGGAAAAAGCAGTTGTGAGAGGGATGCTGCCACCATCATTTCTCCTTTCCTTCCCTCTCTTCTTCCTCCTCCTCCCTCTTCTTACCTGCAATACTGATCCGGTAGGGATTGTCTGTACTCTTTGGTGATGGGTTCTAACTGCGCCTCAAAGATACGGTTGGGATTCTTAAAGAAGTGTTCGTACGGCTTGAATATTTCCAGTGTGACATTGTCACATTCTAAAGTACCGTGCAACCAAGTGAGTCTTTTAGGAATACATGGGAACAGAGACTACAAAGCAGAGAATTCGTTTGCTTACCAATTTCGTGGTTTCCCGCTGCCACGTGCATTGTCAGGGAACGAGTCAGTGGTTCCATGAGATCAAACCAAGAATGCCATCGTTGTGGATCCGAATCGGCATACGGCATGTCGCCCGCGATGAGCAAGAGAGTTGTGGGATTCTTGTTGTTGTTGTTTTCGGACCGTGAATCATGAAAGATATGTGCCATAGTCTTGGTGGAATTGACCGTCTGCCCCAGATCTCCGACCAAAGCAATGGCAGTTGGTGTGTGTGGCAAAGGTGGTGTCACGAAACTGTATTCGGGAGTGGCGCCTACCACAATTTTGGACTCGGCAGCAGCCGCACGGCGTCGACCCAATCGCAGCATTTCATGAGCCGTCGTTCCGACAGTGGCCTCTTGTTGCTTCTTCTTGTCTTTTGCTGCTGCACAACTTCAATGCGATACTTGTAGCGATGACTTCCTGCCCGTAGATTTGGTAGAGTGACATGGTAGATCCAATCGGATTGAAAGGGTTCGGTCATGTTGACAATGGACGAGTAAAGTTGAACTGCAACGGGTGGCTTCTCGGGTACGACGAAAATTCCTGTGGAACCCTTGCCGGCAGGTGATTTTGGGTTTTGCGTCCGCGCAGTTGTCGTGATCGAGCATAAAGGAGATTGTCATGGATACCACCGCCAAGGTAGATTGATTGTGGAAATTGGTTTCATCGGGAGGAAAGGGGATCTCGTGCACATTGTTGAGTTGTGAAATGTGGATTCGTTTGGGTTGACAGGGATACGACCGATAGGGTTCTTCCAGCAAGGTCTTGTACTGGTCCAAGGAAAAGGCCGAATCCGAAAGGTTCAAAGGAAAGACACTTGATGTGTTATTGGGATTAGTCGTCGTCGTGATGATGTTCTTCGGGCTGTCATGATGATTCGTTAGATGAGATTGGTCCGTGGCAGATGAGCCATCCGTGGCAATTCTTCGATTCAGGAAGAGAGACAGTGCCAAGAGGCAAACCAACGAAACAAAGAATTGCAAACTGGAACCCATGGCTTCAGGGAGGGTACGGTAGGTCGAGAGGTTAACGATTGTACCTATTAATAGAATAACTCCGACTGCCCAGAGACAAGGGGATAGATGATGTGAGAAAAAACTGAAAGTCGAGCGAGTTTGGAGGTTTTTGCTCATTACCGGTACCCTAACCTTAAGCCCAGCTTTAGTAAACCTTAACACTTTTGGACTGTCCCTCTTACCGCAACAAAGATCCACCATCAAAGTTTTAACCCAACAAAGAACGCGACAAAATTTCCAAATATAAGAACGCTGCGAGTCCAATCGCGCTTCCTTCCACCCCTTTGTTGTTTCAGTGGATGGCATGCTTGCCCCCTCAAGCCAAGACTCTCTTACAACCCTTGTTCTGCTACTGCCTCCAAAACTCAATTTTCTACTCTCAAATGATGTTCTTCATGCAGACCCGTATCTCAATTGCCCTTGTGAAAGCTACCCATTTATGTTCTCCGTGGATCCCGCAAGCCAAACCCTTTTGCCCCCCGTAATGGTCCTCAATTTCTTGCCCCTATCCCTCAGAACCTAGTCCTGAATTTCGACTGTTCTTTGCTTAAGCCTGGCCCGGCTGGCTTCCGTAGATAATTTCCCTACTCTAAACCCCTTCTTCCATGTGAGAAAAACTGCAAGTCGAGCGAGTTTGGGAGAGTTTCTGCGTCATTACCGGTACCCTAACCTTAAGCCCAGCTTTAGTAAACCTTAACACTTTTGGACAATGAAGTGGCGCCAAACCGTTTGCCGTTGTCACTCCACCCTCGAAGAATGATCCCACCATCATTTTCTGGTCCAAGCTTCTCGAGCCATCACTCTGTCCTTTCCAAGTTGCTATTAATAGTCTTGTTGTCCTCTGCTAGACTGCCGCTACAGTACTGTACCATGAATAATATCAAAGAAACCTTTGGAGAAGCCGCGGATCTCTATAGTGTCCTTGGCTTGAAAAACCGCGACGATGCGGAGAATGCGGCAAAACTCCGCAAAGCCTACTTCCGCAAAGCATTGGTGTATCATCCCGACAAGACCAAAGAAAAGAATGCCGAAGTTGCCAAGGCCAAGTTCCAAGCCATATCTTTTGCGTATCAAGTACTCAAGAATCCAGAAAAGCGAGCTGAATACAACGACACGGGCCATGTGGACGAAGAGCACGACGATGACAACGAGGATGTCAACGCTGCCAATGCTGGCGGCAATAACTGGAAAGACTACTTTGACCTCATCTTTGGCAAGCTCACTACCAATAAGATTGATCAATTTGCGCTCAAATACAAGTGCTCCGAGGAAGAACAGCGGGATGTACTACAGCGTTACAAAGAATTCAAGGGGGATCTCAACAAAATGCTCGAATTTGTCATGCTTAGCAACCCCGTCGATTGTAGGCGATGGTTAGAAGATTACATCAAGCCCGCCATTGCAAGCGGGAGCGTTCCAGACTACAATGACATGATTCAAAAGAGCCTGAAGAAGGTGGAGAAAAAGATTGAAAAGGAACAAAAGAAACAGCAAGAAAAGAAAAAGGCTGCCAAAACAGCAAAGTCCAAGTCTGCCTCAAAAAAGGAAAACCAAAATCCAGCTTCATCCTCGGAAGAGGAGGAGGAGGAGGAAGAAGAAATGACAGACGAAGATGCGACTGAAACGGAATCAGAGGACGAAGAACCAGTCAAAGCCACGCCAGCAAAGAGCAAGAAGAAGGCTGGACCTGCCAGCAGCAACAAAAAGAGAAAGGCAACCAAGGCCAAACCAACAAAAGCCAAAAAGAAATCGAAAGAAGATGATCTAGTTGCCATGATCCAGGCAAACCAGTCGAAGCGATCGGGAGCCGCTTTCTTCTCTGACATGGCTGCTCGATACGGCGCCAAGATGGATGAGGATCCTTTGGGCGACGATGAGTTTGAAAATATACAAGCTCGTCTCAAGAAGAACAAACGATCTCGTTGAGATGATTATAATAAGAGCTGCGTGTGAGTTTCAGAATTGACGCAATCGATCTCGTGAGCGTACCGGTAGGGACAGCTTCCGGTGTGGGAGGGGCGGTGACCTGTTTATGACATGACATGATCATCACAGCCCGTCAAGTACCACAAAATTCAAACAACATCCAACTATAGAGTGTACCACACTTCGAAGGATGCCCAGACTTTGGTTCGGAGTCTACCTTATTCCAAGGCCAATCAAGTCGCTCGAGTTTTCTCCTAACTAGTAATACTTCTTGTTTATGTGTTCTCGTGAATTTGTTATACTTCTTGTTTATGTGTTCTCTGGTCTCTTCAGAGTTGTGTCTATGTTCAAAATTGTGGTGCGCTGACGTCTAGTCTAACGCAGCAAGTGTGGAGCAAAGGAATTGATGAGGGTAACGGCCGCTCCCACAAGTCCTGATACGGCTCCAAATGCCACCAAGAACTTGCTTGCCCAGCGTTCTAGTCTCAGCTTTCTTGATACTACGCCTCCAGCAGCCTTGACTTGGTTGCCAGTGTGCGCCAAGAACATGAGTGCTGGGAAGATGTAGATGATGGCGGATCCCAACAAGGCACCGTTCAAGCTGACTACCAACCCAGCGTCGCTCACCAGCAGCGACAACGATGTCACAATGGCCAGCAATGCACGGCCTACTTTGCTTTCCATATTGGACTTGGATTTCACTTTTGTAGGTGAGGTGGAATGAAGAATCAAATGAGAAAGGTGAGCAAAATGTGGGCCTCTTCGCTTAGAACGTTTGTCAAATGCCTTTCACGTACCCTTTCGAATGTCACTGTAGAGTTGGACAAAAGTAGACTTGCACGCTCGCACCATGAATGGATAGCTGCCAATGACACTCGCTGCCATCAAGAGACGGCTAAGGACAGCACCTTTGTCCGCAGTGGCATAGTTGTTGAGTACAACACCGGCACAGTTACCTCCGAATGTCAGGAATCCCAAAGACAGGAGCACTAGGTTCCAGAGTGTCACTCCAACAAACCCAATGCTAGTCATTCGGCTGTATTTCTGCAACGCCTTTTCGCTTTCCTTCTTGTCCGCTGCCACTGCGGCATTCGTTTGTTCTGCTGCACCTTCCGTGGTTGTTGTCTTTTCCTTCTTGAATCCATGGTACAAGTCTGGTGCATTGAAGTGACCCAAGTAGGCTGTCGTAGCCATGGCTGCAATAATCAATGAGGCGGGAGAGATGATTTTGGAGAAGGTGTTGAATTGGGGCGCCAACGCTGGTGCTGCAGCAGCCGCAAACTTGCCAACAGCACCCGGGGCTACGCTGTAGGGACTGCTAGCGAAAAGGGCAGGACACCGAAAGGCCATGAAGAAGGTTGTCAGCAGTGTTCCGGCTGTTCCAACAATGGACATGGGAGCTAATGCAGCGAGTGATTTCAAGCTGCAGAGTGGAGCCAGTGTTGACAAGGTGATGCCGAGAATCCAGAATTGTCGTTTGGCAAACATTGCAGGAACTCCACTGCCTAGCGACAGTGCCAGGCTGGAAAGAAAGTCGCCAATGACAAGAGAATATGTCACGGCACACCCAAAGCAGAAGGCAAAGGTAGAAGCTGAAATCACCCAGGAGCTCTTTTTGCCGACTGTTTCTTCCCAAATTTCCCCCATAGATTTGGCTTGTGTTTCATGAGTGAGTCTCCCATAGAGCTGAAAAGTGTAGGCACTAAACAGTCCAAGTACCGACATCAAAGCACATGCAGGTAGCAGACTGAAACATGGATAGCAACAGGTAAGGGACACCTTTGGTCCTGTAGGAGACAGCCAGATGTCAATCAAGTAAAGTCTACTTACGCCACCGGATGGTCCGAAACAGCCGCCAATCCATTGGGCAACGCCAATACCCCTGTTCCCAGAATCACTTTGATCAGATTCATGGTGGAGGAGGTAACCGTGGCGCCCTTGGCAGTCTCCTGCTCTTCCTCTTCCTCCACTACTAGTTCTGGCGGTGCCTCGACCTCAACTACAGCAGTTTGCCACTGGCTCTCCAGTTGAACTCTACGGCGATTCACATCTCCGTTCACCAACAGAGTTTCTCCATCCACCATCCCTGGCTGCTGCTGCTGCCCCATTACATAGGATGACTGGTTGACCACAACTTTGCCATTGCGACGCCCTCTGAACCTCTCAATCCAGGATCGCTGCAATCCAAGGGTAGTGGTAGTGGTGATTCCCTGCTTCAACTGCAATCTTTTTTGTGCTGGGAGGTTAAAGGAGTGCGTGGCAGCCAACATGTACCCCATGAACAGGGACAACCTCAGGGCCGTTTGGCGATTGCTCTTGGTGGAGACCATGGTGGAATCTTCTTCTTCTTCGGCAAATGAAAAAAGGGTAGACTAACTCAATCGATCAGATAAGGAATATGGCTTGTGATGGTGATGGCTTGGTGGTAGTCCCACAGAAAATGCGCTCTCTCTTCGGGTTGGATGGATAATATACCGTATACCGTAGATACTGCCGCCAGTTCGCGGAAGTGGCCAATGCTAGCTAGCTTGTGGTGTACAGAGTGAATTGCAGGTTCCTGCAAAACTGTGAACGAATGATAGGAGCAAGGGATACCGGTAGGCTTCTGTGCTACCGTACTGGTGTCAAGACTGACAATGCCCAATGCTACGACCACAGCAGTCAGAATGAAGGTTGAATCCACCAATCTAACTGGTTTTGTGATGGTTGTGCACTGCCTGCATTTTGATGGTGATGTGTGGCTTGAAGAATTCTAAACAAGAATATCCTGTCGCTTATTTAGAATTCTAGCAGGCCAGGTGGCCGAAGAGCTTTGCAACGTCACAGCTGATGTCCAGCTTTTTGTCCGGTGGTGCTGCGTCATGCTGAGATCTGACATCTGCTGAGCTGCTGAAGCATAGCATAATGCGAAGCAGAAAAACTGAATCTTGTATTGGCTCCAGATTCCAAATACAGGCAGAATGGCATGTAACTACCCGTACTAGCTACATGTAGTTTTGCCTGCATAGCCACCCGGTAGCTAGCAAGTGCAAGGGAGAAGGAGGAGACGAAATGACACTTGGAAGCAAAGATGTCACTGTTTTACAATTGAAATGGGCGGTGCTTCAACAAATACCAATCGCAGTCGGCAAAATGTTCGTTGTTTCAGCAAGACCATCATTATCAAGGGCTTGCTTTTGCAAGTCAATGAATTGCCTCTGCTTTATCCACACTCAGCCAAACCATATCGTACTCGTCACATGCAAAGGACATTCCCAAAATAGCTATACTGCAAAGATCCTTGTCCAGTTGCAATGGAAACATGCACAATGCCCTTCTTGTAGCACTTGTCTGTACACGTACCAACATCTTCCAAGCTACAAAAGCCCAGTCAAGAGTGGGTCCTTTCCTGCAGAATGTGCCCTCTTGTGCGGGGAGAAAAGGCCAACTTGCAGTGCTTCTCGAATCCAAGGGTCCCCCATTCATCCTGCGCAAGCAAAGCAAGAAAGCATTCCATCTGCATTCCAAGCTTCTGCGTTTCTTCAGCTATTTCACCATGACTTCTTCTCGCGAACCTCCCTGCTCTAAACCCCCACAGACCACTTCTTCATTTCAATGGGGGCATCGCACACGGACGGGTTCCAATGGCTCGTGGACAGTACTAGTAGATCTACCGGTACCGTGTACGATTGTACCGTGGCTACATGCACTGGTACGGTACGGTAAAGGTATCTGCTCCCCATGAAACTGGGAATACAACCGTGTACATGGAGTACCAGGCTCTACGTGTTACCCTGTCTTTCCTTACCTTTACGGTGTTTTGACCATTCTCGCTCACTGGAACATCGATACTGGTATAAACGAAGGACGGAATCCTGCATACAAGGTCGAACGGAATCTTTAAGTGGACGGAATCTGCGAAAGAAGAAGAAGATGGCTGACACATCCAAGCCCTGGAAAAACGCAAAGTCCTCGAAAATCGCTAAGTCAGAACGGCAAAGAGGAAATCCAGCAGATCACAAACAAGATAACAAAACACAACAAGAAACAGAACAGTAACCACAAAAAATTCTTAAAACTAAAATGACATATAAAATTTGTTTTTGCTATGCCTACAGCAGGATCGCGCTGTAGGCTGGGTGCCACCACCAAGGCAGTTCGCTCAACGCAAGCGTGGTTGGAAGCCGGTGGGCTGATTCTTCTTGTCGTGCTTGAACTTGTTGATGATCTGGGTGACCGTAAGCCACCCGTAGGTGGCATAGATACGGTCGACCGCTGCCCTCCAATCGAAGCCCTTCGCCATCAACCGAATCACACAGTCCCACACATGCTTGCGGCGGCAGAACTTGTCCTTGACGCGGCCGCGCTCACAAGCAGTAAACTCGCATGCGGCCTTGTTCCCGTTCAGGCCCTTGATCCACTCGTCCCACAACTCGTAGAGGTTGAAAGGCTTCTTCGCAAGCTGCGCTGGGAGGGTAGCGGGTGTCGGGGCCCTTGCGGCAGGAGTTTGAGCCAAACGCCAGGACTCCTCGGTGGTGGTGGGGGAAGTCCTCCGCCCGCCGCTCCACCACCACCGCCGCCAGCTCCACCACCGCCGCCGCCAGCTCCACCGGCCGCACCAGGAAGAGGAAGCCTTGGAGCACCATTGCCACCACCCCTCGCGATCAACTGGAAGTGGTTGATCCTCCCAATGTTCTTGTTCACGATGGCCATGTTGGTCGAGACATAGCCCCTCAAGGAGCTGATGTCCTGTGCAAGAATCTGCTGGGCCTCCTCGATCGCCTGCTGAGTCCTATGTTGGAGAGCAAGCAATTGGTTGAGCTGTTCCATGTTGACACCACCAGGAGCACCTCCAACCAAGGGCTCAGCACCAGCTTGGACCTGGGCGGTGGGAGCCAACTCAGTAATGTGCAATGCATTGGCTACCTTGTAGATTGTCAGAGGATCTTGGCGACTGGGTTGTAGTCGGCCCAGGATCCTCATCCAAAGTGGTCCGAAGCTGGGCATACTCGTCTGGATGCGGTTGCGAATGTCTGCTGGCATCATATGCTCCAAGCCAGGTTCCATCGCAGCCCAAAGCAAGGCAGGGCCAAGTACCATCGGAAGGTTGTTGGATGGGTCGTCGGCAAAGAAGTCACATATGGAAGGACAGACATGCTCGCCAATGAACCATGATCAACACCGCTGTCAATCTTGATCGAGTACTTGACGGGGCCTCCAACAGCAAGAGTTCCCGCAACCTTGGCATCGGTCGGCAACTGTTCCAGTCCAATTAGACATGGAAATATGCCATTCTTCTCGCCCTTCCAGCGACCACGAGCCTCATTCTCGGCTTGGGTGATGCCACACGCGGCTGCATAGGTTGGAGGCAGTTCCGAAGACTGTGGGTACCAGGCTACCCTGCACTTGCTTGCCAGCTCCACGAACTCCGGGCTTCCAGCCTTCTTCAAGACGCGTTGGTACAGTGCAATACACGGCTCTTAGCCTTATCGTGACTCGATCCTAGATAGGGTTTGAGTCGACTCATGACTGAGTCTCTTGTGAATAGTCATTGAGACAGGTTCTCAATGACCGGCGCTAGCATAAAGGTTGATGATGAAACATCGCTCTAGATATTTAGCCAGCTGGAGTACTTCCACGCCACTAGATCAGGCTAGACAAACCTTCCACGCGTTCCGTTTGGGATCGTGGAGAAGTAGAATACTACCGCAACCTACTCTATCACACTTTATAGTCTCCCGCGGGAAGCAGATCTACGATCCCTGATGAGGATCTCTCTCGTTGATTAGTTTTCATAGCTTTCTAATCTCTCTCATAACTTTCATTCTCCTCAAACTCAAAACACTCGAAAGATCTTTACACTAGCTTTTAGCGTAGTGCATTTTGTTAACAAACACAATAGCTTTCAGCTACCCTCAACCTATATCCTTCACCATGAAGATGGCTCAAGGAAAGCATGCGTTCCGCAACTTCGAGAAACAGTTGCGTGACAAACCCATCTTCCTCTCGTCGACAATGACGAAGAAAACGAGATCGACGATACTCGTACAACCACTTGCAAACTTCGCAACCATGTTGCCAAGCGCAAATCAGAAAACTCCGACAATGAGGACAACTCCTCTATCAATTTCAATCACTTGGATGGAGAAATTCTCTTCTGAGGATTAGGCCAGGATGATACTCAACGGAACCATGTTCCGATATTCTCATACCAAAGTGATAAGATATCTCACTAACTAGTAAACAAGAATGTTTGCAACTGATGAACACTACGGCAAATTAGATGATTGCCTAGGAAGCTGCTAACTAGACTCTGAGAATCTATTACGCATCGTTAACCTCGTCTGTCGAGCGTGGCCGAGATCGCACCTCGTAAAGGAAAACAAGAGACGCCAAACCCATCGTTAATGTTAGATTTAACAAGCGAAAAAAGGGAAACCAAAAACCGTTACACTCCGTGCTTACTGGATTCAGGAGCATTCCGGAACCTTGATTGCTTAGCACTCATGCTAAGAAATTACGCATGAAGGAGTCTTGGGGCGTCCAACACGATGTGGACTACCCCCTGCAGGAGAATTAAAACACACACACGAAGTGCAAAGGTGCATTGATGATTCCTGAATTCCACGAAGATAGTAATTAGTCGAGTGGGATTGACACGTCACCGAAGAGCTTGGGGCGTATGACATTAGATCATAGGTCGAGACATTCTCTCTGAATCTAGATTCAAGTTGATTTCACGTATCCATCGTCAGTTGGAAGTGGGACGGCCCATAAGTTACTTCCTAGAAAGATAGCGAACACCAATGAAAGACAGGAAGAGCTTCGTCGATTCCTGATCCTAGCACGGTGTTTATGACAGTGCCACAATCGCTCTCAAGTAGATTCCTCGAATCAGCGAAATACGAAGAAGCTGACTTAAAGGCAGGTTTGCCAAAGTCAAAGACAGTTAAAACCACGGAGAGAAGGAACAGCTTCCATCTTACTGACGAAGTACTCTTGACCTATTCGATGGTACTTAGAGAAAGTGGCAGATGGACACACAGAAGTAGAACTTCTTCCCTGATGTCTAAACGCCTATCATGCCAGGGTCTTACCGCTATTCCACGGGTCCATACCAACACTCTATAGATGGAGGTTGAACGTTTCTGCGGGCAGGAGTACTAAAGAAAGTAAACCGTTCCGAGTGGGCGGCACCTAACTTTCATCATTCCCAAGAAAAAGACGGATCTGTACGGATTCATCTCTGAATTTCCCGGGAACTGAACAAAAGGATTAAGCGAAGCTTATCCTATCGCCAAAAATACAGGACATGCTCTTGAATCAGACGGATTCAAGTACGCTAACAGTCTAGACCTGAACAGGGGAATACTATCACATTCGAGTTGTCACCTGCACTCGAAACAACTCTGTACCATCGTACTCCCGTGGGAAAGTACGAGTCCAGAGGTGCCAATGGGACTATGTAATGTCCCGCTCTTCCAAAGAAGATGGGAACACTAATGAACGACCTAGAATACGTCAACTGCATACATTGATGATCTACTCATCCTAACTACGGCGATCTAGCAGATCACGGTTGAAAAATTGGATGAATTCTCCGAAGCTTCGAAAAGCCGGACTTAAGAATCAATGCTAACCAAGTCCTTCTTCGCAGAAGTGAACTTGAATACCTAGGTTACTGATTCACTCGAGAAGGGATCCAACTATAACCAAGAAAATAGACGCGATCAAGAATATCGCTCCTCCTACCAACAAGGAAGGAACTCCGTAGATCATCTGGACTAGTGAATAATATACGGACATTGGATTAGACAAGATCACATGTACTGGCCCACTCGTTCGTTGACTT